ATTAGCTTCTCTATAAGGTTAAGCTTTAGTTATAATTCTATTATTATATGCGTTTTAACTTAATTTTAAAGTTTTAGATATATCTCTATATAAGGCTATTTTTAGTTATTTATATCCTTAAGTGAATTTAGGTTAAAACTTATTTTATTTAATTATTACTAATATTAATCCTTAGTATTATCTAAAAGGAAAGAATTAATATTAATATCCTCTAGTAATTTACTTATCTTAGTAAGTAGTTTATTAGCTTTAAAATCTACTTCTATTTTAACTCCTTATTTATTATTTTCTTAGGTTAAATTATATAGATCTATTAGTTAACCTAACTTAATATAGTTTTAATTTCCTTAATTATATATATATTTAGTGTTCTAAAGGTTTATAAAGTTAGTAACTTCCTCTTATATTATATCACTATAAATAGTATATATAGTAATTAAATAGATAATATTATCTAAAATAAAATCTTTAATATTAATTATTTCTAATAAAAAATACTAATTTAGTATAAAATAATAATACTTTATAAGAGGGTTAAAATACTTATAATCTATTAGTTACTAAAGCTTATATATAAGAACTTCTATTATAACTTAATCCTAATATTACTTATATTTAGTATTTAGATATAATAAGATAATATTTAATTACCTTATTAGTAAACTTAAGCTCTACTTTCTCTATTAGTATATTTAATTCTTATTTAATTAACCTCTATAAGGAGTACTTAGATACCTATAAAGAGAGAGGTTTTACTCTTATAGTTTACCTTAGTAAGAAAAGGTTAAATCCTAGAAGCTTAGACTATATATAGATATTATTTTATAGTACTTAATACTATTATTATAGAGCATTTAATATAGATCTATATAATATATCTTAAGTATATATTAATATAGGTATAAATCTAGAAACTAAATCTTTTTAGCTTTTTATATCTATCTATAGACTATAAGAAGTTAGGTCTAAGGATTTTAAAGTTAATATAGTATTACTAATTACTTTTTTATTATTAAGCTACTTTATTTAGGAATATCTATATATAATAGTTATAAATCTAGTTTTTTCTAATAGTAATACTAGCTATAAAGTAGATATATTAATAGAGGTAGCTCTATTTAAAGTTTAAGATAGCTAGTATTTTCTATAGATCCTTCTCTATAAACTTAATTATTACTACTTTAATTTTAGCTCTCTCTTTTTTATTAAAATATTATTACTTTATATTATATTTTTATTATATTTTCTTTAACTATTCCTATAATAAAGTATTATATCCCTAGTAAATAAGTTCTTATAAGATCTAATTATCCTTTATATTCTACTAGTAGAAGAGATACTTAATTATAAGAAGTATATTCTCTTTTTATTCTAGATTATATTAATTATAGTACTATAATCTCTAGTTAGTAAGTTAATATTTAAATATCCTTTTACTTATATTTATACCCTCCTCTAAGAGTATAGTTACTATATTATTTATAAGGATACTATTAAAGAAGAGGCTTTTAATAAATAGATAATAAAGCTTTAGGTTAATAGGTATACCCTAATTTATAATAAACTTAGTGAATATAGTATAGAGAGGGTAAAAAGATATTAAGCTTAACTCTATAATTATTTATAATTATAGGGGGATTCTAAGTAAGTAGAGGGAAAAAATTAATATAGTTATTAATATAGTAGTGAGGGTATAGGGTTAAATTAGCCTAACTTTCGTCTATGAAAACCCTAAAATCTGAGGTTAGCGGATTTACCTTAGTGGTGCACTGTAGTACGTGGATGGCACCACGTGCGGTCTGAGATCTTCATGAGGGCGTTCAAGCTGATACCTCTGGGGAGTGGTTCTGCCGTTGAGAACTCCGCTCCAAGGGACCCTGGTCCCCAGACAGGGGACGTTTGGCTGTGGGGTCTGCAAGCTCAGGGTAGCTGTTCACGATAGCTAGCATGTCACGGAACGTGGTGGGGAGCTCAGGGTAGGAGGCATGTGACGTCGCCGAGGTCGGTCTCAGAGTTCCTTCAGCGCGGTGTTGGGCGGAGTGCGTTCTCGATAGCTTCATCACCACTCTGTCACTTCGTGAACGCCAAGACAAAATTCAAAGATGACCACCGCGTCAGACAGAGAAAGCATCCAGCAAGAGCTAGTGCCGAAGCTAAGTGCTGAAGCGATCCTCCACTGGCCTGAATCTGAGGGCTTCAACAAGTCGAACTTGCGGTTCACTGACTATGAGCGGCCGGTAAGACAAAAGCTTCGCCTTCTGATCAAGGAGAACGGCTAACATGAGTATTCAAGACTTACCTGGTATCCATCTCACCGGGTTGTGACGACGATGTAATCCAGATCGTCAAGTACGCGAAAAGCAAGGGCGTTCCGTTTGCCCCGCGCTCCGGACACCATGCCGTCACGACGACGATGCGACACCTCAAGAACGGTATTCTCATCGACATGCGATCGTTGAACAAGCTCAGCTTCGATGCTGAGAATCGACAAGTCACGGTGGGAGGTGGTGTGATTACGGACGAGTTTGTCAAGTTCCTCCAGTCTGTTGGGATGGAAGTCAGTAAGTATTCTGATTTTCGCGATCACAGGCTATTCAGTCTCGCTAACGGGGGAAAGACGTGGGATCTTGCCCTACAACGGGCGTCATTGGTGTAGCTTTCGGGGCCGGACTTGGTCGGCTCCAGGGCAAGTACGGTTTCTTGCACGACAACATGGTGTCTTGCAAGCTAGTTCTCGCCGATGGCACCGTCGTGATGGTCTCAGAAGAGACAAACCCCGATTTGTTCTGGGCCATCCGCGGCGCCGGTCACAACTTTGGTATTGCGCTTGAGGCAACGTTCCGCGTTTACCCGCAGGCGAATAAGGGCATTCATTACACCTGGGATCTAGAGTACACTGTCGACCAGTGTGACGCTGTCTTCGAGACGCTGAACAGTGTTCACGAGGAAATGCCAGCCGAGCTGGCCATCTTCATCTTATGGATTCGCCAATCTGATGGCGGCAGAAAAGTAAGAATCCGGCTTACACCATTCTTCGAGCGTTTCTAACTATCTGCCTTAGCACCATATTCTCGTCAACCTTGTCTGGTCCGGGAACGAAGCCAACGCAGATCCCTGGGTTGCCCGATTCGAGAAGCTCGATCCTGTGCTGAACAGTGGCAAGGTCACGACCAACTGGGCAGACCTCCCTTGGACGACATACAAAGGACAGAACAAGGTTCTTAGCAAGCCCGAGGTCTGGTCTCTGGCTCCGAACAAGATGATGGGCGCCGCCTGCGTCGAGAAGTTCGATCTCAAGACCACCAAGGCGTTCTTCGAGAGCGTCAAGTCTATGAACGAGGAGTGGGCTGGGAAGGGCTTCTTCGGAGCCATGTTTGAGTGTCTGCCGCACCAGAAGGTCAGAGAGCTCCCGGACGAGGCGACAGCTTTCCCCTGGCGTTGGGGATCGAACCATTTCTTGTGAGTTGCAGCCGTACTAGTGGGCTTGTTCGGTTGAAATAGAAGAAACTGACAGTGGTCTGAACAGGATGTTGATGGCTACCCCGATCAAACTGGAGAACAGAGCACCATTCGAAGCTCATCTGGATAAGTGGAAGAAGGAATTCATCGCCACTTCCGGATACGGCCGACTACAGCAATATGTCAACTATGGCAACACGACGTCTACGATGAAGGATCCCGCAGAGGCGTTGTACGGTTACGAGCCCTGGAGGTTGGAGAAGTTGCGAGAGTTGAAGAAGATTTACGATCCCGATAATGTGTTTCGCTGGTACCAGCCATTGGTGGAATAATGCGTTTCGTTTAGAATATGCGAGATTGAGTTTCTTTGGCAATTGAATAGAGTTTTGAATACCACATGGCACAGATACTATTCGCCTTATGCAAATTGCAAACGTCACAAAGGCTACACAATACCCTTTGGTTCGCTTGATATTTGGCAATGTTTGGAGGGTCTTACTTTCTGAATGTAGTCTCTTGAACTCACTCGCAATTCAATGTCAAACGCCACAGCAAATCCATTCCCAACATCCACAGACGGCCTCGGTGTTTTCGAGAATTGCGAAATCGGACTGGAAGCTGTCTCTCCACCGCCAGGGGTGCCATGTCCCGATCTCCCCCGCGAGCAAACGCAGCAGCGGGCGGGAGCCGACGAGAGACGCGTCACAAACGAGACAGCAATGCCGGCGGCAATGCAGCCTCTACAAACATCGCTACTGGAGGACAACGACAGAAATCCCCCACGTGCTCACAAGAACCGGAATATCTTACTACCATGGTGTCGGGTCTTCGCCAATCGTTCTAGCAATAGTAGGGGGTGTGTTAAGGTCCCGAGTCATTGCTGTGTATCAAGGCCCCGCAAGCAATATCAAGAACGCAGACCCATCCGGAAGGGCCCCAGTTCAACCGGACAACTAGGGCCCCTCAACCACTTCGACAGTCGACTTTTCCACAATGGAGACGATCCATTCTCAAACGTCCCCCGGATTTGAACCGCTCTTGGCAGGACCCTGGCCGATCGGGTTGGCTGTGGAACGGGTATCGCAAAGAGTCCGGGAGTTACTCCGGTGTGTCGGTCTGTCACCGCTACGAGGCAGACCCCCATAGGAGTGCTGTTCGTTTCCCGTAGAACGTGCTTGGAAAATCTGCTCGTATTGGATTCCTGCTTGAATCCATTCATTCTGATGGAGTATCGGGGGCCGGATCTCTGGAGAAGATGTCGCGTTTTGGAAACTTGAGCCGTTATCAGGACATGGGGGTTAAGATCTTTGACACACTGGATCTGATGGATCAATCGCGCGGAAAGCTCCGAGTTGAGCATGCAGAGATGTCGATGAGAAGATATCTTTGCCCAAATTCCCTTCAAAATCTGTTTCCTCGTCTTTCGACCTTCTCTAGCCACCTTGACTCCCACGCTGCCATTCCCAACACCCCCAAAGATACCCAATAGTCGTCTTCGTTTGTAATAGTCCTTCTCTTTCTCTCACAACCAACCACTCATCATGCCTTTCATCCAAGAGGCCACTAGCCAGGCCGACCCCACCAGCCAGCCGATTGCCATCATCGGTATTGGTCTGAGAGCTCCCGGCGATGCTTCTGACCCGGAGAAGTTCTGGCAGATGCTCGTCGATGCGCGCTCTGCACGCTCCGAGATCCCCAAGGACCGTTACAATGTCGACGGCTTCTACCACCCCGACCCTGAGAGGCTGGGCAGTATCCAGCCCAGGTGAGTGGCTTCGGCCAGCAAGGCAGGCCACGCGACAGTATGCTCATCGCTTTTCCCAGGCACGCCCACTTTCTCAAGCAAGACTTCAAGGTCTTTGACGCCCCCTTCTTCTCCGTCACACCCAAAGAGGCCAAGGCCATGGACCCCACACATCGCATGCTTTTGGAAGCCACCTACGAAGGCTTTGAGAATGGTATTTCGAGAAATAGACTTGATGCATACGATCTTGCGCTGACATCTTCGCAGCTGGACTGAGACTGGAAGATGTTTCAGGGACACAAACTTCATGCTACATCGGTACCTTTACCGGTGACTTTCCTAACCTGCAAGCCCGTGATAACGAGGGACCATCCATCTACCGTAAGACATCCATATCTATTGGATGAATAATGAAAACTGACATAACTCAGACGCTACTGGATTGTCTTCTTCCCTGGCCTCAAATCGCCTGTCATGGTTCTACAACCTGAGAGGACCTTCTATGACTATCGATACTGCTTGCTCGTCAAGTTTGACAGCCTTCCACCTGGCTTGCCAGAGTATTCGTACCGGAGAGGCGGAAATGGTAAGTTGGCATCAAGATCGTATATCATGTATTGACTAACACCTTGACTACAGAGTGTCGTCGCCGGCGCCAACCTCATGTTCGGCCCGGACATGTCCATTCTCCTTGGAGCCGCCAAGATTCTCTCTCCCGAGGGAAAGTCCAAGATGTGGGACGCCAACGCCAACGGTTTCGCCCGTGGTGAAGGTTTCGGCGTTACCATTCTGAAGCCCCTCGATGCCGCCCTCCGCGACGGCGACACCGTTCGTGCCGTCGTGTTGGCGTCGGCAGCCAACGAGGACGGCAGGACACCTGGTATCTCTCTGCCCAACAGCGAGGCCCAGCAGGCTCTTATCCGCACGGCGTATCGCAACGCTGGCGTCGACCCGGCGGAGACGGGCTACGTTGAGGCCCACGGCACTGGTACCCAGGCCGGTGACCCCTTGGAGGCACGCGCCATCCTGAACACCATCGGCGACCAGCCCGGTCGCAAGTCTGAGCTCTATGTGGGTTCAGTCAAGACCAACATCGGACACTTGGAGGGTGCTGCCGGTGTCGCTGGTGTCATCAAGGCCGCTCTCGCCATCGAGAGGGGTCTCATTCCCCAGAACCTCTGGTCAGTCTTTACGATACACTACTTAGATGCAATCTAACCAAAATCACAGGTTCGAGGAGCTCAACCCCCAGATCGAGCTTCCTGATAAGGTCAAGATTCCCCAGACTCTGACCGTCTGGCCCAGCACTGGGCCTCGGAGAGCCAGCATCAACTCCTTCGGATTTGGAGGTGCCAACGCTCACGTTATTCTTGAGGACGCTGCTTCTTACCTCTTCCGCCATGGCCTCCCCGGACGCCACGCCACCGTCTCTCGCCCTCTCCTCCCCAAGTCTTCCACCTCCGACGATGGTACCGGAAGTACCGCCAGCGAGACAGAGCCCACTCCCAAGCTCATTGTCCTTTCTTCCAATGACCAGGAGGGTGTCAAGCGCAACGTCGAGCGTCTAAGTGAATATCTCGAGACCAAGACCTCAACATCATCCACCTACATGAACGACCTCGCTTACACTATGGCTTCCAAGAGGACCGCTCTGCCATGGAAGTCTTTCGCCATTGCTTCTGACGTTGCCACTCTGCAGGAGAACTTGGACACCATCCCCGCCGTCATCCGCTCTTCAAACTCCACTGTTCCCCGTGTCGCCTTTGTCTTCACCGGCCAAGGTGCCCAGTACTTCAAGATGGGCAAGGGTCTGTCCGTCTACAAGGTGTTCCGCGACAGCATGCTCCGCTCTGAGACCGTCCTGAAGGCTCTTGGCTGCACATGGAACCTGACCGAGGAGCTCAGCCGCCCTGAGGCCGAGTGCAACCTGCGCTTCGCTGACTACAGTCAGCCCGCCTGCACTGCTTTGCAGGTTGCGCTTGTTGACCTCATGAAGTCCTGGGGAGTTTTGCCAGTCGCTGTTGTTGGTCATTCTAGCGGTGAGATCGCTGCTGCGTACTGTGCCGGTTACATCGACCATGAGGCCGCCGTCAAGATTGCCTGGTTGAGAGGTCAGGTTTCCAAGACTGTCTCCCAGGAGGGCGGCATGTTGGCCGTTTCTGCTAGTGCCGAGAGCATCAGCGAGCACCTTGAGTCTCTCAAGAATGGCAAGGCTATCGTGGGCTGCTACAACAGCCCCAAGTCGTGCACTGTGTCTGGTGATGGCACTGCCATCGACGAACTCCAGGAGGTCCTGAAGGAGGCTCAGATTCCTTGCACGCGCCTGGGCATCGACGTTGCCTACCACTCTTTCCACATGGAGGCCGCCAGACAAGCCTACGAGTCTGCTCTTGCCGGCATTCCCCACAGCTCCTCTGATATTCCTCTCTTCTCTTCCGTTACGGGCGAGGTTGTTGAGCCGGAGCAGATGCAGCCCTCTTACTGGGTTGACAACCTGGTCTCCCCGGTTAACTTCGTCGGCGCCGTTCGCTCGCTGCTGCATCACACCCAGGGCAAGGCCAAGTCTCACGACAGATCGGCTTTCGCCAGCGTCTTCGTCGAGCTTGGTCCTCACTCTGCCCTGAGAAGCTACCTCCTGGACACCTTTGCTACCGAGGACCGCTTCTCCGACTTGTCTTACGCCACCGTTCTCAGACGCAAGTTTGACGGTGTCCAGACTGCTTTGGAAGCCGCTGGTCAGCTTTGGGCCAAGGGATGTGTCGTCGATGTCAACAGAGTCAACGAGATCAGCGACAGCCCCAACATGCTGGTTGACCTTCCTCCTTATGCTTGGAATCACACACGTGCGTTCTGGGACGAGTCGTACCTTAGCCGCGAGTACAGACTTAGGGAGAAGCCCCGCACCGATCTTCTCGGCTACCGCATCCCCGGTACCCCCGATCCTACCTGGCGCAACTTCCTTCGTTGCAATGAGAACCCCTGGATCCGCGAGCACAAAGTGCAGGGTGACATTCTCTACCCCGGTGCTGGTATCGTAGTCATGGCCATTGAGGCGGCTCGCCAGCTTGCCGAGGAGCACGCTGAGGAGGAAGTCTTCGGATACGAACTCCGTGATGTTGCCATCGACACTGCTCTCAGAGTGCCTGACACCGACAAGGGTATCGAGGTCATGATTCAGCTGCACCCCCGACGCACTGGAACCAAGGCTGGCCCTTCTGCCACTCTCAACGAGTTCGCCGTCTCCTCTTGGTCCGAGGAGATCAAGGAGTGGACGGTCCACGCCCGCGGTCTGGTCTCTGTCACTTACAAGTCTTCATTGTCTCCCGCCATGCAGCGCGAGCTGGCACTTGAGAACGAGCGCTACGCCAAGTCCTTCGCCGACGCCAAAGAGATCTGCCAGAAGCCCGCCCGCAGCTTTCTCTACGACACCGTCGAGACCATTGGCATGCAGTATGGCCCGACTTTCCGCAACATGACTGAGCTGTTCGCCGGTCCCAACTCCAGCTACGGTGTTATCAGCGTTCCTGACACCAAGGCCGTCATGCCCAAGGGCTTCGAGTACCCTTCCGTCGTCCACCCGGCTACTCTCGACTCCGTCCTTCACCTGCTGTTCCCTTCCATCAGCGGAGAGGATCAGTCTCTTAGCGAGGCCGTTGTTCCTTTCTCCTTCGACCGCATTTTTGTGTCCGCCAAGCTTTCTTCCGTGCCCGGAACCAAGCTGCATGGTTGCTCCACCGCCCAGAAGACCAGCTACACCACCTGGAAGTCTTCCATCACCATCTCTGAGGACCAGTCGGAGCCCATGATTATCATGGACGGTGTTTCTTTGGCGTCGGTTGGTGAGGGAGAGGCGTCTCAGTCCCAGGAGACCAGGGCTTCTTGCTTTGGTCAGTACTGGCACGAGGATGCCGACCTTCTTGAGCCTGCTCAGATCAAGGAGCTCGTCTACAAGCGCACACTCAAGAGCAAGGACGACGACTCTGTGCTTGACAAGCTTGAGTATGTCTGCTTGGTCTACATCTACCGCTGCCTCGCATGGTTGGAGAGCGAGGAGGGCAAGGCACACGTTCCCCAGGACGGATTCTGGAAGCTCTACGTTGAGTGGATGCACGATACCATTAAGCAATTCCCTCCTCTGTCCGAGAACGAGGCCGAGGTTGAAGCTGAGATGGAAGCTTGCCGCAAGAGGATCGTCCTCTCTGACAGTGGTGACATTACTGTCCAGATGGTGGACCGTATCGGTCAGAACTTGGGACGCATCTTCTCCCACGAGGTCGAGCCCCTTCAGGTCATGACTGAGGGCGACCTCCTCTACACGTTCTACCGCGGCGCCTTCGGTACCAGCTTCAACACCAACGTTGCCGAGTACGTTGGTCTCATCGCCGACAAGAGCCCTGGACTGAAGATCCTGGAGATTGGTGCCGGCACGGGTGGTACTACATACCACGTTCTTGAGCGTCTTCGCAATGCCGACGGATCTTCCAAGGCGTCCAAGTACACTTTCACGGATATCTCTCCCGGTTTCCTCGCCAAGGCTGCCGACCGTTTCTCTACCGATGCCTCTATTATGGAGTTCACTACCCTGAACATCGAGAATGAGCCTACCGAGCAGGGCTTTACCCATGAGACATACGACCTCATTGTCTGCGCTAATGTTCTCCACGCCACCAAGAGCATCCAGGAGACTCTTGATCACTGCAAGTCTCTGCTCAAGCCCGGTGGTCGCCTCGTTCTATCTGAGGTTACTATCAAGCGCATTTTCTCCGGCTTCATCATGGGTCCTTTGCCGGGATGGTGGCTTGGAGAGGAGGACCACCGCAAGGGAGGTCCTCTTCTTGATGTCGACGAGTGGCAGACCGCTCTCAAGCTGGCTGGATTCTCTGGTGTTGATGTTGACATCCGCGGTGACCGTGAGGCTTCCAAGGAGCCCGTCTCCCTGATCATCTCCACCAAGCCTGCCAAGGAGGTCGCTGGTCCTTCTGAGTTTGTTGTCATCAGCACTGGTTCTGAGAGCTCCGACAAGCTTGCCGTAGCGATTCAATCTCAATTCGCCAGTGCCGGTCAGAATATCTCGGTTGCCCAGTGGAACACCATCTCCGAGGAGCAAGTCTCCGGAAAGTACTGCCTGTCCCTCGCTGAGTGGGAGAGCCCCATTCTTGCCAATCTTACCGATGAGAACTGGGAGAAGCTTCGCCAAGTCATCTTGAGCTCTGCTGGAACTCTCTGGATCACTGGTGGTGCGGCCATGGACTGTCCCGACCCGATGAAGTCCCTGATGGTTGGTCTCGCCAGAGCTATTCGCAATGAAGACGCCGGTGTCCGCCTTGCTACCCTCGATCTCGAGACTTCCGACAAGATCACCATCGAGACCGCTGCCAAGAACGTTCTCAAGGTTGCCTTCGAGCATGCCCGAGGCGACGGTTTCGATGGCGAGTACGCCGCTCGTGAGAGCCTCGTCTACGTTCCCCGCGTCGAAAGAACTCTCAAGGTCGACGGTTCCCTCCGCAAGTACGAGGCCAAGGGCCGGCCTGAGCTCGTCTCTTTCAAGGGCTGCGGACGTCCCCTCAAGCTTACCATCAAGACCCCTGGTCTCCTTGACACCTTCCGATGGGAGGAGGACGAGACCTACTACCAGCCCATGCCAGAGGACTGGATCGAGATCGAGGTCAAGGCCGTCGGTCTCAACTTCAAGGATGTTCTCGTTGCCCTCGGCAACCTTGCTGAGAATAAGCTTGGTGTCGATGCCTCCGGTGTTGTCACCCGCGTCGGATCTGCTGTCACCGACTTCAAGGCTGGTGACCGTGTCATGACCGCTTCCTGCGACACTTTCGCCACTTACGTTCGCTTCCCTGCCAAGGGCGCAATCCCGGTCCCTGAGCATATGAGCTTCGAAGAGGCTGCTTCCATGCCCCTCATCTTCCTGACTGCCTACTACTCTCTCGTCACTGCTGGTGCGCTCTGCAAGGGCGAGAAGATCCTGATCCACGCCGCCGCCGGAGGTGTCGGTCAGGCTGCCATCATGATCGCCCAGCAGAAGGGAGCCGAGATTTTCGCTACCGTCGGCCCCGAGGAGAAGAAGCAGCTCATCATGGAGCAGTACGGCATCCCTGAGGACCATATCTTTAGCAGTCGTGACACCAGCTTCGCCAAGGCCATCATGCGCGCCACTAACAACCAGGGTGTGGATGTTGTCCTCAACTCCCTCGCCGGCGAGGCTCTTCGTCTCTCCTGGCACTGCCTGGCCAAGTTCGGACGTTTCCTCGAGATTGGTAAGGCCGACCTCTTCGCCAACACCGGTCTCGACATGAAGCCCTTCCTTGACAACAAGAGCTACATTGGTGTCAACCTCCTCGACTTCGAGAACAACCCCACTCCTCGTGCCGTTGCTCTCTGGGAGGACACTGCCAAGCTCATCCACAACGGCTCCGTCAAGCCCATTGCCCCTATCCAGCTCTTCACCATGGCCGAGGTTGAGAAGGCTTTCCGCTACATGCAGGCGGGTAAGCACATGGGCAAGGTCGTTGTGCGCGTTGACGATGCGGACATGGTTCCTGCTGTGCCTCGCACTCCTCGCGTTGACATCCAGGCCGATGCTACCTACGTCGTCTCTGGTGTCGGTGGTATCTGCAAGGAGATTGGTCGTTGGTTGGCCGAGAAGGGTGCCAAGCACTTGGTCCTTCTCTCTCGTTCTGCTGCCAGCAGTGAGGAGAACAAGGCCTTCGCTTCTGAGCTCCAGCGTACCTACGAGGCCAACACCTACGCTTACGACTGCGATGTTGGCAATAAGGCTGCTCTGCAGCAGGTTTTGGCCGACCTCAAGTCTAAGAACGTCCCTGAAATCAAGGGATGCGTCACCGGTGCCATGGTCCTTCGTGTAAGTACACCTCAGCTCTTTAAATCGCCATTCTTGACTAACACAATCGCAGGATACCCTCTTTGACAAGATGACGGCGGACCATGTCCGAACCACCGTCGGCCCCAAGGTCCACGGCACCTGGAACCTTCACGAGCTGCTCCCTCGTGACCTTGACTTCTTCGTCATGCTCAGCTCTCTGGCCGGTGTCATGGGTCACCGCGGACAGGGCAACTACGGCTGCGGCAACATCTTCCAAGACTACTTCGCCTCTTACCGCCGCAGCCTGGGTCTGCGCGCCATGACAATCGACATCGGCTACCTCCTCAGTGTCGGCTTCGTCGCCGAGCACGACGAGTACGTCGACCACGTCAAGGCCATGGGTCTCAAGGTCATGCACAAGAGCGACCTCCACGGCCTCATGGCGACCGCCTTGGAGGGCACAGACGCCCACCCGCCCCAGGTCATGTGCGGTCTGCCCTTCAACGAGCACGACGACGCCTGGTACTGGATCCAGGACCAGCGCTTCGCCGGTCTCCGCAAGACGGCTGCTGGTGCTGGGGCCGCGGGCGGAGCTGCCATCTCCTTGCGTGACGAGCTTTCCCGCTGCGGAAAGGTGGATGACGAGGCTGTGCATCTGATTACTTCCGCGCTGGTGCAGCGCTTGGCCAAGTTGATGATGATGCCCGAGGACGACGTTGATGCCGGCAAGCCCCTGAGCGCTTACGGTGTTGATAGTCTAGTTGCGGTTGAGGTGCGCAACTGGATTGCGAAGGAGGTGGCGGTGGAGGTCAGTGTGTTTGACATCATGGCGAACATTCCCATGAGACAGCTTGCCGCGGATTTGGCGGGCAAGAGCAAGCTCTTGGTTCAGGAGTCTTCATAATTTTGTCGAAGTTTGCATGAGATAGGAGTTTGGGACTAAGGGTTGGGTTTTCTTCCGCACTCGGCAGCGTCTTGCTTTGTTATTATGTCTTATGTTAGTTTTAAGTGCATGTTTTCAGTTGAAGTATGATTCACGATAAGAAACTTTTCTTTGAGATTGAATAAGTGTGAGTTGAGAAAACCTCTCAAAGTAACCTCTTCATAGCGACCTCCTGGTGAAAGCTAAGTCTCATCAACCTCGATAAGTGATTGTTCAAGACGATCGTGGTAGCACTTCCCGGAGTAGCTACTTTCGCCATAGTAGAGTTCCTCATGAATCATGTCATTCGTAGGTGTCGGAGGCTCCCGACGTTTGTAGATGCTTCCAAATCAACTTTGGTGTTTCCTCGCCGTCTCCCACCTCCCGATGAACTCTCACCTCCAGAAACTGCAGGGAACCATGGAGTCAAGGGTGTCCTTGAAAATGGGGTTCTGTCAGAAAAATCCACAATCCAGGGTCCGGAGTGACAGGTTCACGAACAATCGAACATGACTCGTAGCTGCAAGGCAAGGGCTCCTGGCTCCGAGCTTCCCCTGCAACGCGAAGCCATCACCTTTCACTTGTCCACGTGCTCAGCCCTCGATAGTGCTGCAAGATAGCGGTTTCGGAAATTTCCCATGGAATTCTGATTGAAATGCTTCAAAATCCCACCGGCACTCGTACCCCATTTGGCTCGTCGTAAACCACAGTCCCTTAAAGCGCCCGAGTGTGCCGCTATTCCGAGCCATTCCAGTCAGTCTCCTGCGTTCGAAGGTTTTCGCAAACGTCACATCAACCCTTGCCGATCATGGCAGCCAAGTCTGATGCGCCGGCTCCGCAGCCGAAAGAGATGAAGGTGCTCTCACTGGGCATGACAAGGACGGGTAGGTCTCAGATCTCGTTTCCATGTAGCACTCAAGCTACCTTGGCTGACAATCATGACAGGTTCTGCGTCCATCACGCAAGCCCTCACGATCCTGGGCTACGACGGTGTTCACCACGGCATCCAGGCCATATCCTCCCCCCGCGAGTGGACTCTCTTCTCCGCCGCCGCAGACTCGACCTTCCCCACCCTGCCAACTTACACCGGCGCGCCCTTCCCCCGCGAAAGCTGGGATTCGCTCTTCGGCGAATACGAAGCCGTCACCGACATGGGCTCTTTCTTTGCCGTGCAGCTCATCCAGGCGTACCCCGAAGCGAAGGTCATCCTTGTCGAGCGAGACGTGGACAGCTGGTTCCAGAGCATGGATGAGGCCATCTTCAAGACGACGTGGGGGTGGCGCGCGGATCTCATCATTGACTACCTCGGCCCCCGCTGGGGATTGGCGGGTGGACAGACTCTGAGAAAGATCCTTCTCGGATTCTACGGCGCACGCAACGTCAACGAGATGAGAGCCATCGCCAAGGAGAGGTACAAGAGGCATTATGCTGAGGTGCGTGCTGCGGTGCCGAAAGAGAGGTTATTGGAGTTCAATCTCAAGGGGGGCTGGGAGCCACTGTGTAAGTTCCTTGGCAAAGAGGTTCCAGAGGGAGTCGCGTTTCCCGTAGCGAACAAGAGACAGGAGCATCTTGAACGTGTGAGGACGAGGCAGAATCGCTTCTTCAAGCTAGCTATCTTCGTGGGTCTACGAAAGACGTTGCCATGGGTGTTGAGTGTTGGTGCTGTGGCGGCTGGCGTCTATTTGACCAAGCCCAAGTGGGCGTTGGATGTTTTTGAGAACGCCCTGAAGACTATGCAGACTCATCTGAGATCTCTGAACTTGTAATCTGGGTTTTCTTTTCTTTTAAAAAAATTGAGTAATGATATCTCCCTACCATGGGCATTTTATTGGCTTTGGATTGGTCTTGACAAATGGGTAATCACCATGTACATGTATACATGTAGTGTACAATTTATCCAAGATAGAATACGTCGCTAATCGTTTTCAACAATCAAATCTGAAGTCTAACCGCTTGTTTCCCCGGTCTGCGTTATCGATGAGATACTGTTGTTGCTCCTCAATTGACATGGCATTCCATTGTCTCTCCTTCTGTTTGTTCCTCCAAACATAGTATGCTTTCGTCAGAACATACAAGACAATTATAGCGACATTGATGGCAATGAGATTTTGGTTGCCCCTTGGATACCACGGGGGGTTGTCATCCTTGCGGTAGATGTTTGACGATGCTATGCCCGAGAGTTGCACCATGATGTTGTAGACCGCGGCGCTGACTGCCCTTGTGCGAACAGAATTACTGATGCGAGAACACCAGCTCACCTGAGCTGCATGTACCGAAGGAGAAGCGAGAAGCATGAATAGTACGGCGTAAAGTGACCAATTTGAGAGACGTTGTGCTGAGGTATAGATGACGACCAAAAACGGCAAAGACCAGAGTTGCGAGATCAACCCGAAAAGAGATATTTGGTGCTAGTGATGTCAGCGAAGTGCATACTGGAGAAACGGGAATAGACTTACGAAATATTCCGTCAGGAAGGTGATGCCCTGTTGTAAATATTCTCTTAGTCACGATTCAGGAGACAGTAAAGAGGGAGGAAATGACAATACTTACCAACATTGTGCAGCTAGCGGCGACAGTCACGGGGATATTGAGAAGGGTAGTAGTAAAACGATCGTAGCCGATAGCTTTGAGAGAAAGGTTCAAATACTGGCCGGGAGGATCCCCGGGCATCTGGAACAAGATCCCAATGGCATATATGGGCCACAAGTCATAATCCTTCAGACTCTTCCATAGCATAGCAAGCGTAATTCCCTCTCTGTTGTGCATGTCGGCCTTCGAGGGATCGTCTCGCAAGACACGGTTAACAATGATTCTTTCTTCACGCTCGGTGAAATAGCCGGTCGGTTTCCACCAGCTTTTTGTTTGGGTAGGCCCGGGTACCATAAACAGAAAGCTCAAGAAACCAATCGTGACGCTGATTATAGCCTCTATGAGAAATAACCATCGCCAGCCCTCGCGACCTCCGACGCCTCGAAGGTTGAAGACACCGTAGGCGATAAAAGAGGCGATAACCGAGGACATTGAGTTGACGAACCAGAAGATGGCCAGCCTCATAGGCATCTCGCTGTTCTTGTAGAAGTACGAAAGATACAAAAGTGCATCTGGAATATAGCCTCCCATGGCTAAGCCGATGAAGAATCGGCAGGCGAAGAATGTTGCGCGGTTGGTCATGAAGAATTGGCCGCCGGATGCAATACTCCAAAGGATGATTTGCGTCGGGATCCAGCGGTCTGTGCCAATCTTCTTTCCAATCATTTGTGAAGGCAGCTCGGCAATCAGGAATCCGACGCGATACATGTTTTGCGCATTGTTGTAGTCGTTCGTGTTGATGCCGAGGTCGTCAACGAGGCCGTCTGCGGTTGCGAGCCCAAGATTTCCACGATCGATGTTGAGGGCAAAGAACATGACCAAAACCCAGATGAAGATGCGTATGTCGACCTTTCATTGTCAGAGAAAAAGACCAAATTTTCGGTGTACGGTTTTGAATACCTTGCGGCGAACAGCTTGCTCTTCTCTGTGCGTCCATCTTTCATTTGGGTCAAAGGCACGATAGTTCTCGTACTCTGGTTTGGGGTGGTAGAATTGGGCCAGATCCGGGTTGTCAAGGACACTACGCACGGTGGCAATAGCGTCCGGGTCGGCTTTTTGTCTTTTGTTACGAACAAATCCCCAACTCGTGTAGGTTTCTTGTTGAACGGGCGGTTCCGCGAGGTCGTCCGTCGAGGCCTTTAGATCGGGGAGGCCCGTCGAAACGACGTCTGGCTCCTTTTTCGAATCAATGCCAATGAATACCATATTTTTCAGGGGAAGAGAATAAAAAGCTATTACGTTTGAAAGAATTCAATGAGGTCTCGCCCCTTTTTGAATTGGCAATCGACCGGTCAGGCTCCGACATTCGCTACTAGTCTCGGGGCATTGGCTACCGAAATGATGAAAGACCCGACGACATATTAACCATAAACGCTTTTAACTTTTGGTAAATGGGTCGATGGCACGCTGAATTGTGCAACTGAACAGTCGAGTTGATCACACAATAGCACGCCATATGACTTCTAGCCAGTCATTGGCCGTTCCGGACCCCGGGAGCCGGGGGCTAGGCCGGAGCGATAAGAGTTATCGGTGAGCCCCACTTGGTCCGGCTCCGCTCCGGCTGCACGTCCTGCTCGGCCCGGGCTGGACTTTAGCCGACGAAACCCCTCTCAAACGCGCCATAATCCTCCGGATGACAACATCAATTCTGCCTTGCTTCTGCATATTAACCGTGGTTTTCCTGTCTTCCTCGCGCTCAAAAGGCTTGGCGACTCGGAGACATCCGCAACCTGTCTGTTGGCTTCTTATTCCCGCTGGGCACCCGATTTGGCAGTTTCCCGATTCGGAACCTTGCAGCCAGTCAGAGATAGTTGTCCGCACAGGGCTTTCCGGCAAACCCTTCCATCCCCGACGTTCACGATGGCATCATCCCGGACAACAAGAGTCCGGTGGCTCGGAGACACACCGCCGGCAACCTCAGGAGTCACCTTCGCTGTGCCTTGGCGTGCAGGTGCTTGCAATGCCAAGAATGCCGTGTTTTCGTGCACCTCAGAAGGTGGCAGGTCGATTCCCATGCAGACTTGGCCGATCGGTCACTGGCCTGACGGAACGATCAAATGGACCAGCCATGCTATACCACAGACAATTGAGGTAGAGAGCGCTTATGATATTAAAGCCGAAGATAACAACTCCCACGCGACTATCCACCCTGATGCGATTGACGTCAACGAAACATCTGAGAGTATCAAAATATCGACTGGAAAGATCACAGCGGTTTTTCCAAAGTCGGGCACCACGATAATCAAGGATATCATCAACGCCAAAGGCGACACCGTGGGGACCGACGGCCACCTCGTTCTGCTTTCTCAAACTGGGATCAGTGATCCCGAAACCCCGGATCCGTCCACTCCATACCATCATTTCAACTGCGCGATCGAAAAAGTAGAGCTAGA